GGCACTATTTGAACAGCAGGCTGAACATGATTGATAGCAAACAGATCTAACTTGAATGCTTTCGGAAGCTCAGCGTCCTTGTGCGAGTCACAGCTTGGACAGCTCATCAGGGTCATCTAAAAATTTCATCTGCTAAGAGGTTCTGTAAACTGTTATGTTGCAGATGGCATTGCATGCACTTCACTACCAGATTTTGTAAAGGTGTCAACTGCCTTTTAGTCAAATACAGTAAGGAGATCTTATTGCTTTGTGTTAGTTCATCCCTGTAAAGATGACTTAGGCTGGCATTTACTTGTGGGATCAGTTTTCTGATGTCTGACTAGATTAAATTTTAGCTGCACTGCCAGGCTACGTGGCTACAAGGGTGTTCCGTACTCTCCTTTCCCTCCTCAGAGTAAAGAAGGAAAGCAGCTTCCTGTAACTTCAAATTTTAAATTCTAATTAACAGCTCAACAGTATTTTCTCCCTCCTCTCCCATTTTTTCACAAGGCAGATACTACCTGGCAACTGCTGCCGTCTTCTCCCAGGGTTCATATCTTCCATTCAACTTGGATTACATGACAGTGCGACTCCCCCTCCTACCCTCTCTTCTTCTGCTCTTTACTTCCAAATTAAGGCAAAATACACATGCTTTGTTTAACCAATCCTACTTAAAGTTATTTGTTCTCAAATTCTCACCTAGACAATTAATTTAGCTGGCCTAAGAGTGTGAATTTATGACTTCGGTCATGAAGCTGAAGAAGGAACAGCAGTGAGGAGGACAGCTCTCATCTCTCTCTTCCTGGGCATGCTCAACCAACTGGACACTCGAGCATCCCTGATATTAACCACTCCACTCTCGCTAAATGTTTAACACATTTTGTCTTAAATGAAGTTTCGAAGATGACTACACAACATATTGATTCCCTATGCTTGTGAAAAAGGCCTTTGGGCAGATTACAAAAACATAACACAAACATAAGACAATATATTTTATTACATAAAACAGAGAATGTTACTAAACTCTGTAACACATTGTTAGCATTTTTAAACTTGGTAAGAAGAAAGAGCTATTCATATCCAGAATAATTCTTTTAAATTTGACCAGGCTCAGTATTTGGCATATCACCAGTAGATGCTAAGCCTGCATTTACAAGAGAGCAAATCAAATTACAAAAAAGACTTATTCTTAAAAAAAACAACTGTAAAATATCAGCTGACCTCCAGAATGGACCTATAATCTTGATTTAGGCCTGAATAAGTATCCACATCAAAACAGACACCGCAACTTCGCATTCTGGTTTGACAGCATTACAACAGCAAATCATTGAATAAACACACTGAATAAATGGTGGTTTCAGGCACTGTGTCTCCAGGCTGGAATTTGTTAGAACCAAACAAAAAGCTTCCTATTGCTTTTGCACCTTCATTATCTGTCTTGAGAATAAACCTCAGCACTCAGCATCTCAAACTTCTTTCAGCAAAACACTGGTAGAACCTTCTGAACAACAAATGTTTACATCTGCCTTATTTTTCCACTCTTGCCTCACTCTCCTGTATGTCCAGTGTACACAATTTCATCCTTAGTAGAGATTGCTGCATCGTAACAGGAAATCATGAAACCTGTAATTTCTTTCTATACCATCTAACTCACCTGAGTTGCGTAACACAGAAATGTATTTCCAATTATCCTGGTTAAGAGAACATTCTGAAACAATGTGGACTAGGGTACAGCACATCTTCACAATAATCTAAATTACACATTATTTTATGGACTAAATGATTGGAAAGAAAATGGTTATTTTTTTTAATTTCTCAGGGAGCAGGAAGGGATTATTGGTATATCAACTTAAAGCACAGGCAGCTCAACTTAATAAATAAAGTAAGACCTCCTTTTCAAGTATTTCAAGCAGGTCTACGTTTGATTTGAAAGCTATATATATTCTTACTTTTTCAGCACCAAATTCAACGTTTTTAAACCAAATGTTTAACTTTTATGAAACTGGATAAAAACCTTGTTTTCTGGTAGGAATTAAAAAATCCTACAGAAATAGGATTGTTTTATTTTGTTTTAATACTGTAGTATCATGCACTTCAGAGAAAAATTTCTGCAAAAAGAGCACACAAAAAACTTTGCTCCATGTCCTTAATCCTAAAGGCCGATGAAGAGATAATATGACCAGGAAGAGAGTCTGTTCTTCTATACACTTTGCCCGAAAATTTATAATCCCTACAGAAAGGAAGACGCAGAACCTGGCTTCATTAGCAGCTTCAGAAGGAAACTAGCACAGTAAAAACTAGCACCGTCTTCAGCCTTGAGGAAGCATAATCCTTCAACCAACCAAAAAAGATACTACGCAGTCAGCATCTGTTTCACATAACTGCTTGGTTGTTGAACTGTATGAAGAACCTTGAAATGTATGACTTGGGCTGTAAATTTTTTAAATATTGGCTGTTAATACATTGCTTTACAAAGACATATGAAGCTTTCAGTTACCTAAGCCCAAAAAACAATTTTAAAACAGTATCAAAAATTAAAAGTATATAGAACTTCATCCATTGAACGTTACCCAACAACGGACAGTGACTGTTAAAAACAGATGCCTTTCTACCTTCCTCCAGGTTTCCAAGATCATTGTCTGCAGAAGATCTCCATACTACTCTAAGTAAAGAGAACTTAGATAACTATACCATAACAACTGAAGGCAAAAACCAGAAATAAGAACAAAAACACAGGCTTCTCTTCAACCCCAGAAGCAGAAATTCCAAAATAAATTTTAGCAGTGATTAAATATGTAAGATGTTCTTCTTTAATACAGCATCAAGAGAGAAACCATGCACACTCCAGAAAGCTGCCTTCATCAAATAGGAACACATCTCTCTACTAGAAGATTAAACGCTGACCACAAGCTTTTGGGAGAAAAACAAAATTTTGGAAGCTTGCCTTAGCTCCCTTACCTAGGCAATGAAAAGCTATCAGAATTAGCATTTTTCTCCAATATCTCATAGAAAAAGCAAATGATAGTATTTCCCAGCACAGACCTGCAAACACTCATAGTTAAAAGGAAAAGAAATAAAAAGTTGAAGTAAAAAAATTCTGATAATCCTTCTGTCTTTGAGAAGAGACAAATGAGTGAGAAAAACCAAATTGAAAATTCTGATTACTTCAGGACATCCTGCCACATCAAAGCACTCAGCTGAGATAAGGTTTCTCATAACACACATACCTGCATAAAACAAAAGCTGTATGATCAGAATTGAAGGAAGAGACTTTAACAAGGTTCTCCTGTAGAATACTCAAGATTCAATTCCTGATGCAAAAACTGCATCTACCAATACGAATTATGTATTTCGTAGAGATCAGGCAGCAGAACATATAAACTGGGCTGCACTCTATTTCAAAACAAATCCAAAAAGTGACTTAAGTGCACATTATGCAGATAACACACTCAAGCAGAATCAACACTATCCCTGTGGAGCAGCCCTTTTATCAAAGAAAACTTCTGCTTCTTTTACCAGATACATGTTCAAACAAGAACATAACATGTTTAAATCCATGGACCAATGGTAGTAAAGAGGAAATGCTATCCTTTTAATATATGCTTATCTCAAAGCCTTCTTGAAACAGTTTCTAATAAGACAACCATCAGGAAACTTGATTTCAACTCATGAAACTTCCTTCAAGAACCAAATTAACTTCTATCCCAGAGCATTTGAGGGATATATCATAGAATCATAGAATGGCATAGGCTGGAAGGGACCTCAGAGATCATCTAATCCAACCTCCCTGTCATGGGCAGGGACGCCTCTCAACTACATCAGGCTACTCAAGGCTCTGTCCAACCTGGCCTTGAATACCTCCAGGGAGGGGGCATCCACAACTTCTCTGGGCAATTTATTCCAAAGTCTTAACACCCTCGTACTGAAGAATTTCTTCCTAAGATCTAATCTAAATCTGTTCTCCTCCAACTTAAACCCATTTCCCCTTGTCCTATCAGTGGACACTCTTGTAAAAAGTCCCTCCCCAGCCTTCCTGTATGTTCCCTTCAGGTACTGGAAGGCAGCTCTTAGGTCCCCCCAAAGTCTTCTCTTTTCAAGGCTGAACAATCCCAGCTCCCGCAACCTGTTCTCGTAGCAGAGGTGCTCCAGCCCCTAGATCATCTTTGTGGCCCTCCTCTGAACACGCTCCAAAAAATCTGTGTCTCTCTTATGGTGGGGACATCAACCTTGCTGAAAATCCAACGAACATCCCCAAGATTAAATTCTACTAAATTTACACAGAAAACAAAAAAGATCTACAGAAATTTTAGAATATAAAGAAGATCTACCTGGGTTTTTTTCTTAGAAGAACATTAGACTAAATTAGACTCCACGAGAACTCTCATTAGGAGAGTGTTTTCCTTTTACAAGAGCTACCTCTTGATCACTTAAGACTCAGGGTCAGAATTGGGCAGTCGAATAGCTTACCTGTATACAGACAATTAAAAAAACAACCACGAAACAACCATCCCTCCAAAACCCAACAAATTCAACAAGAGAACAGATCTTGAAGAATATAACTCATTGGAAGTTGGTTGCCTTTGCAACACTTTCAGTGGTGCAGTTTTGCCAAATAGTGGTTTTGCCAAATGTTCACATAGTTACCTGAGCCAGCGCTCCTAAGTAAAAGCTTATACTTACAGTAAACACAGGGAATACACTTCCTTGAGCTGCCACGTGAGTCATAGTACAAATACAGAGTCCAGTTTGTATTTCCATATAACTTAACCACTGCAATCCAAGAAATTACATTAAAGAGATACACCACACTTATACACCTTATGGTCCTCCTGCTTTTTACTTTTTGTTCTTTTTAGTCAGCGTTTGAACAATTTTTCTCAGCTTTATCAGCTGTGGTGAAACTTAGGTTTTAAATTCCAGACACACTGATTTATCATTCTTAAATTTAAAACAATGAACAGTTCGGTACGATGAGATTTAGATACTGCATGTTTTTATAATCAAACAAATAAATGCTATACCTCCAAGTTCTTTTACGTTCAAGATGGCATTCTGGAATGGCACCGCTTTTATACTAAAACCTAAGAACAGAAATAAAGAGTATTATTAAGTTATTTGTTAAAGAAGTCATTTGAAATCTATTACATACATTCAGAAAAGACTACTTTTTTGGTGAAGAACCAGGATTTTGCATCTGAAATCCTGTTTCAATATGATGTTTAGAAATATCAGTTATTGGGGAGGATAAACCAGTATGAGCAATGAAATTTGCAACGATACTATTAAATACCTGGCACACAAAATTTAGCATAAAACTTCCATCCAGGCCATCTAACATTTGGTAAGCCGTTAGTATGGAATATGCCTTTATAAAACCACCTTTTAATGGATCTGAAAGTAAAGTTTAGATTTCAGACCATCAGCAATATGAAGCGGTCCTTCTGCAATTTTTAGGATACGTGGATGACAACATGCAATTCAAATCACTGGGTTTTTTACTTTTAAATTTCACAGGTTTTAGTGTAGAGTATTAATCCTGTCTACACGTTATTAATAGAAATATCCTTTTACAGACCCAAGTGGTATGTATTAAATGGTTACACGCACACTAAAAGCATCTATGAATTCTCTATTAGCCTAGTTTTATATGCTTAAAACTAAAAAAATGTTTTAAGGTGTGATGTTTCCCCTTAACTGAAAATTTAAACAGCCAAGAGAAAAGGAATGTGAAAGGCTCCCAGCAATTCATCAAGATATTACATAATAAATTCTGCATGTTTAGTGCATACATACATATAAATGTATATAATGCTTTATATAGCAAAAATTATATCTGCTTTTTCAGTATAAAATGTCCAGATAGATATTACATTTATTTCTATGTAGTACAAGTAGTTTCAACATGATTACATACTCGTGAACTGAGTAAAGAAGTTTTGAAAAAATGTGCTTCACTCCAAGTTTATTAGCTACCATTTAACAGAAATGAGGTATTTTTTCTTCCAGATCAGACTAATAAGATATTCCAGTACTCCAACTACGGTCAGAGCTAGATGCAGTAGAGGAAAGTGCAAGAAAATCTGAAGGGAATAACTATTAAATATTTGTTGTTGTTGTTGTCTTAAAACAAATCCTAAACTCTTGCTAGAAAAGAGTTAAAACTGGAATGGACCTGAGTGGTGGTGATGAGAAAAGCAAAATGACAGACTATAGTTTGAAAACTGAGTGAGGAAGTTGTCACATTGTATTCCTGGATTCTCAACAATATTTTCTGATACAGCATAGATACGGTACACACAGGCAGATTTACTGTAAGCTGAATAACCTAGATATGCATCATACTGGTTTGGATGCTGCCCAGTCTTCTCTAGAGCCCATTTTTATTCCTCCAGTTGCCTTACTAAATAATGGTATTTTGTTGCAACTACCTAGAAACACGTAAGAATTTTCATTTTAGAATTAATCTTATTTTCATTATTTCCTTTCATAGATCTATATTACTATTTACATTGCTCTTACTATTTCTTTCAGGGTCTAAAATGCTGACGTACAATTTGCACTAATTCCAGGTGAACTGCAAAGACAAAGCTCAGGAGAGGGGAAAAAAAAAAAGTTTGAATTCCTCCACAATTTCCTTCTAGCTTCTTGAGTTAGGCATTGACACCTTATCCACACAATGAAATGTCAGATCTCTTTAACATTCCCAGTAAGATCACTGTCAAGGCAATGGGTTAATTATTCATCACAGAAAACACCAGTATTTTCTTGTACCTGTTTTACTTTGTTTACTTACATTTGTATTAAATAACCTTATGTTCTTGTAATTTGAACAAAGATACACTGAAAACCAGTTGCTAAGGGACAATCATAAAATTCAAGCCCATGAACCACAGCTACAATATAAAGCCATGTAACTATAAACACAAGTTATACAACATTCACTATCTGTTCTCTCAGTAACCTTAATAAATGTGGCTGTGGCCACAGAACCAGATTTCTTTTATCTCTATGACCTAATCTCTCTTCTTTCTCAACTTTGCAGCCAGGTATTCCTTCTTCTCACTGCACATGTTTGTTTCTGTTTTTTTTTCTGGTGCTGGTTTTTTTTTTGGTTTCTTTGTGGTTTTTTTTAATGAAAGTACTCTTTTCAGTATTAGGCATTTTGGTTCATTTACATCGGAATGTATATTCAAATTTTTTGGACTTAAGATACCTTTTAGCTGTGGTCATTGTGTTCGGTTTTGTGTCTTCTCAACACCACTGAAACCTTTTGAAAATTGATTCTCTGATCTCAATCTGTCCTTACTACATAAACAGGTCACTCTGCTGATCTAAAACTAAAGGATTATCAGCAGAAATAAACATTTCCATTACATTTATTCTTTTGGTTGCTAGTATATACCACAAGGCAGTACTGACCAAGTATGAGAAGAAATAAATCTCAACCTAAGTTTCAGAATATCACTGTCTCATTTTTTTTGTAGCACATTCTCCTCTTTTCTGTCCATATAACAAGACTGCTTAAAAACCAAAAGTAAAAAGAGAAGGAAAAAACCTTTTAGTGTGTGTCTACAATACACTGCTACTGTATGTTTCCAATGATTCTACTCCATTACACCACAATGTATGTTTTGACTTCCATTACAAATTGTATGTTTTCACAAATATTCCCCAACATATGACCAAACACTGAAAGAGTAAGTAGTGGTAGCTTCAGAGCAATCCATTAGGTACTTTCAAAAAGCAAGATGACTAAGCTGAAGTTCTCTAGCCCCTTTCCAATATGTTTCAAAAGTTACCTTTAGGCAAAGTTACAGCACACCATGCAATAAAGGTAGCATCCTACCTGTGGTAGACACTATATTCTCCGGGCTTTCACTGCAAAGCTGTGACAGAAGACTTGTCTTGCCAGAACCAGTGAGGCCTATACAAACCAAGTCATATTCAGGTCGCGGTGGTGGCGGTCCCTTGCAGCAAAGTGCTCTAAAACACTACCAGGGTAGGGAAAAACAAACAAAACAAAAACAAAAGGAAGAAGTTACTTTTTTTGGCAAATGTTTATTCAACAAGGTTCTAAAAATCAAGTTCATAAAGGTAAAGACATTGGAAAGGAGTAAATTATTATTCCAACTCTACTTTTTGACAAAATCAACAATTAACAGACTGACACCATCTCAGCTAAAATCTGGAACAGCTTTATAAGAAAACATAAATATATCTGTTAACTTTTCACCTAAATCTCACAGAGCTGGATTGAGGAAAGTGACATCCATTTCTTGAGTAGCATGAAGAGTGCACACACAATGAGACAGGTACATGCCCGACTCAATTCTGTGGTTGAGTATGCACGAGTTTGCTTCCTGTGCAAATTTCATGCAATACCTGGTGTGAACATCAGAGCAGCTCCTAAGCAGGGGCCGGTCAGGCTCTACCTGTTGTCACAGAAAAATAACAAGAGAACTTCACACCATTGAGTCCTTCCTAGGCTTGCTTTGTCATGTGTTTAACCTTACAATAGCATCTGTTAAAGAGTACAGCTTGTAAAGACATAAATTTTTCTGGACATAGCTCTAGTCATAAATACGCACATCTCTCACTTTCCCTGGGGAAGTTTAAATTAATCACAAAATAAACAATAAAAATCTCTTTCACAAAGCCTACTTTAGCGTTCCACTCATGTCTCAAACAGTATTGCCAAAGCAAGCCAAGCTCCTTCGAGAGGTCCTTTAAGCCCTTACTAAGGTTAATTAGATCTTTCTTCATATGTAATACAGAAAATTTTTAAGTAAAAATCTAACAATGTACCATTCTGGGAAATCTAGGAAGTTTATATTTAAGGTATGGGGTATAACTGCCCGCCAATGTCCAAGATAGACCTCCACCACCTCAACATATATAAATACCTTTCTCCCCAATATTTGCCACCTTAAAATCAGAGGAATACATCTGCTGTGACAACCAAGGGAAAATATGTTTGAGCAATCACTCCTCTCTCACACAATCTGTCTTTACACAGTTCCAGCTCTTCATCACATCCACAAGCCAATCACCGCATTAGGTAAAGAAATCCCCATCTTTACAACCTCAACTAAGTTTGTCTACATGACTAATGAGGATCTCTTGAGGACTACTGGAGGAGTAGAGAAACTGAACAGACATCAGTAAGGCACTGTTGCATATAGTGCAGTCTGGCTCTGTGAGGAAGTCATCTAAAGAGAATGTGATTATAAAACGACAGCTCGCTAAATGCAGAATTTTTATTGGATTCTTTCTGTATAGATGGTAAGTTATTGTACATGTTTCCAAAACAGTCTTTGGTTTAAAGAAGCAAAATAAAAGTTCAAGGAAAGTTATGAAATTCCTTCAACACTTTGTAAAAACGTGAAATGTTATAGGAGTAAAAACATTTACAGTCGTACTTAAGCTGAACAAAGGCAACAGATTTTAAAAACAAAAGCTTTGCCTCTATTAAAATCTGACTAAAAATTACTTTTTTCAAGAAGGTTTGCCCTTTTATGTGTGTCTGTAGATAAACAGAGTAAACATGCCTTTTAGCTTTATTCACTGACATCAGGTTATACTTATTTCACAGATTCTACAAAGTCACAGCAAATGTTCTACTCTGGTACTTAAGTGAGAAAGGCCAATTGAGTTCATTGCACAACATAAGCTCCTCCAAACAGAGTTTCCACTTAATGGATATCAGGCTGAAGGCCACATAAACTCTTCGAAGCTTGCCAGAGCTCCCAAGGCTGTGTGTCAGTCGTTAAAAAGGATTCAATTTGTCCCCGTCAGCACAGCATCTTTGCAACAACTTCTTGCTGTCACATTGAAAAACATAAAGGAATAGATGTGCTGATGGAAGTCTGTGCTTCCCTCTGTCCAGACACTGTGCAGTTCTTATGAAACCAGACACAACTCTTGCAGCCCTGACTACATTTAATAAAGTGCAATTCTGTGAAAGATAATTATTGCTCTTTGTAGAACACATGTGGAGGCTCTGCGGGTGACAGAGGGGCTCTGTAGGTTGGTTTTGTGAAGTTCAGTATCTCTGGACAATCTTTATGTGCTGTTGATATAATCAAAAATACAGGTCAAATTGCTTGTCCAAAGTAGCATACATAGACCTACCACCCACTCACTCATCCTTCACCACTAAGCACAGTTAGGGATCAAAAGTTCTTGAGATACATCAGACACAGGCAAATGCCCAGAAGACAGGCAAATGGCTCCCTCAAGACCACTCTCATATTTTATTTGATGTGATTCCTGTATCTTTATTATCTTTATGACTTTGTCCTTCAGCAAGGCTAATTTTCTTCAGTAAATATTTTTGTTTGGTTGGAATGAAAACAGACTTTAAATATTCTGGCCTCAGAAAGCTGCTGAAATTTAAGCTGCTGTGTATAGCATTTACCACTGGCTGAAATGAGAAATTCTACAGCACATTTTAGGGGATATTTGTAATAATGTATTTAAATGAATCATAGAATCATAGAATGGTTAGGGTTGGAAGGGACCTCAAAGATCATCTAGTTCCAACACCC